ATGGCTTTAAAAACTTTCAAATATTTTGAATTATGAACATCTTTGTCTACATATAAATCATGAAGATTATCTTATATAATCTTACTCATTACTCATTCCTCGTTTCTTATAAAATACCAAACATAAGATTTTTATTATTTTTTCTAATCTAATCCAATCTCATCTTATATTACCAACGAGCCCTTAGGATAAAAGCAAAGTAATCTGCTGTATCCCATCTCTCAAGTTCGGTAAAATTTTCCTCTATTCAAAACCTAAAACAGCTGTCTTTAATCATTTAAGTAGCTGATCTTGCCAGCTACTTAGAAGGTTGCCCTTGCAGTCAAACTCTTAGTAGTTAAAACTGCCATTGATATTGGAAGAAATATTTACATTAAGACACACACACACACACACACAAAAGGAGAAAGATAACAGCAAGGCAAGAATGACTGGGAATTTGATGACGCCATTTAGTTTTGGATAGGAATTGCATCACTCTTTTCACCAGTAAAAAATAGAAAATACCTTTTGCCTTCCCAAATTCATCTCCACCCACCAATTTTTAGTTCTGCATCGGACAACAATAGCTATTGGCTTGGTGTAACCAGAATTCCTCATAATCCACGAGAGAAACACGAAATGATACTTCTTCGATGGCGTAACCAGCATGTGGATTGTCAGCCTTGATAACCAAGTCGGCTTTCTCCTGCAACTTCAATGCAAGTTCGAAAGTTACCTCAACTTCTCCCATCGAAGGCCGTTCGTTTGGATTTGGATGAATACAACTGAGAGCGATCTCCATAAATTCTATCAAACACACCGGTGCTATCTTCTCTTTCAGAAATGGATCAATCATATCATTAACACAGCCGTTTTTTATGCATTTAATGATCCCAGAAATTGTTGAAAACTGATGCAAAAGTGGATATTGTCTTTATCTAATTTGTTATTTAGTTTGAATAAGTCTTCCTGAATTTTCTTCAGAGAGTAGGGTAGTTGTTATTTTAATTTTTAGGATTATTTGTTGAGTTAGTTTAGCCCATAATTTTAGTTAGAGTACAGTACGTGGGTATCATGTTACAATTTTACTACTTAGATTTCTAGTATATATTTGTATGTTTTTTCAATGAATTCAAGTATTTAGAAAATTATCTTTTCACTTCTTAATCAGTTTGTTATCTATTTCCATTTTTCTGTTCTTCTCCAACAAATTGTGGTATCAGAGCACCAGGTTCAATTGGTGTTCTTGTGAAGTTAAGACCATTGCTAAAGCAAAGGGATCTCAGAAGCTGTAGCTATTTTCATCATGGCCAGCAATTCAAATTCATTGAATTTGTCCCAATCCTTGGTGCCCATATTCAATGGAGAAAACAATGTTTTTTGGAGTATTAAAATGAAGACCTTTTTTGTCTCACAAGATTTGTGGGATCTTGTGGAGAATGGGTTTGTTGAAACCGAGAAGTCACCAGCAGCAAAGGTGAAAGATCTTCGGAAGAAGGACGCAAAGTCATTGCTTATATTGCAACAAGCGGTAACTGACTCAATCTTTCCTCGGATTGCAAATGCCACAAAGTCAAAGGAAGCTTGGACCATTCTGAATCAAGAATTTTATGGAGATGACAAGGTAACAATTGTGAAACTTCAAACTCTGCGTAAAGAATTTGAAAACTTATGCATGAAAGGAAGTGAGTCAGTTCAAGATTTCATTAATAGAGTTTCTGTCATTATTCATCAATTGAAAACTTATGGTGATCAAGTTGATGATCGTAAGGTTGTTGAGAAGGTTTTGAGGTGTCTACCATCTAAGTTCGATCATGTTGTAGCTGCTATTGAAGAGTCAAAGGATTTCTTTGTTTATTCTCTTAATCAATTGATGGGCTCACTTTTAGCACATGAAGAGAGAATGAACAGGTTTGCGAAGAAGAACATGGAGCAAGCCTTTCAAACAAAGGTAGAGATCTCTAGCCAGGAGAAAAATGATCACAGAGGCTCTACTAGTAGAGGAAGAGGTAGAGGAGGCTACTGTGGCCGTGGATGAGGCCAAGGGGGATCAAGCTCAACTTGTCAGAAGTATGAGAATGGAGAAAGAGGCAACCAAAAGTAGAATTATAAGTGGAAGCAATGCCATTTTTGCAAGAAACATGGGCACATCGAGGCAAACTGTTGGGAGAAGGCAAAGCAACAAGCAAACTTTGTTGAAGAAAAAGAAGTTGAAGAGAACTTGTCCCTCACCTGTTTAATTCCAAATGTCAGCAATTTTGACTTGTGGTTTCTTGATAGTGGATGTACTAATCATATGACAGGTGTTAGAAGCCTTTTTCGGAATATCGATGAGACAGTGAAGCTGAAAGTTCGGCTTGGAGATAATAAGCAGGTGCAAATTGAAGGCAAGGGAACAATTGCAATTAGAACCAAGTCAAGTATCGAAAAGTTGATTCATGATGTTTATTACATACCTAACTTGGCACATAATTTGCTTAGTGTGGGTCAGTTGGTAGAGAATGGGTATTTAGTTGAATTTCATGATGGCTTGTGTGAAATCAAGTGCAGTAAATCTAATATGTCTCTTGCTAAGATTCCCATGGCTAAAAATAAAATATTTCCACTTGAGATCTCATGTTTGAATGATCTTGCACTTGTTGCAAATGTTAAAGATGACTCCAAGTTATGGCATATGAGATATGAGCATTTGCATTTTAATGGGTTGAAATTATTGAGTCAAAAAAAGATGGTTTATGGCTTGCTCTCTATTGTTCCTATTGATGATGTTTGTGAAGGTTGTGTTTATGGGAAGCAGCACAGAAATGCATTTCCAGTTGGGAAAGCATGGAGAGCAAAGGAGCCTTTGGAGTTAGTACATGTTGACATTTGTGGGCCAATGAGAAATTTGTCTTTGAACAAGAGCAAATATTTTTTATTGTTCACTGACGATTTTTCTCGTATGAGTTGGGTATTTTTTCTTGTTCATAAGTCAGAAGCTCTTGAAAAATTTCAGGAATTCAAAGCTTTTGCAGAGAAAGAATGTGGCCATCAAATAAAAATTCTTCGAACCAATAAGGGAGGAGAATTTTTATCTAATGAGTTCGGTAGTTTCTGCAAGCAAAATGGGATCAAGAGACAACTTACTGTAAGAAGAACTCTAGAGCAGAATGGGGTTGTTGAAAGGAAAAACAAAACAGTTGTGAAAATGGCAAGGAGCATGTTGAATGAGGAGAAACTTCCACAAACCTTCTAGGCTGAAGCAGTTGCTACTGCTGTACATATTCTCAACATTTCTCCAATAAAGGTAGTGTGAAATATGACTCCATATGAAGCATGGTGGAAACGAAAGCCCAATGTAAGTAGTTTGAGAGTTTTTTTATTGCATTTCTTATGCCATGATAGCTTCTAATGATCGTACAAAGATGGACCAGAAAAGTGAGAAGTATATTTTTGTTGGATATAGTTGTGAGTCCAAGGGTTATCGTTTGTATAATCCTATTACTAAGAAGTTGATTATTCGTAGAGATGTTGTTTTTTATTAGAACAGTGCATGGGAGTGGAATGAAGGAAAGATTCAGCACTTGTCCTGTGAAGAAAGTGAATCCAATGAGCCACAAGCAGAGGAGATGGAAGTTGGACAACAATCTTCTCCTACACTAAGTTCTCCAACAATGTCACCACAATCTGCTCTAACTCCTCAACCTCGAAGGATGTTCACTAGAAGCATGTCTGGTGCTATTCTTAGGAAGGAAAAACCTTGGCAGCAAGTTTATGACCCAGATACTTATGCACTTCTGGTGGCAAAACCTACTTGCTATGATGAGGCATATGGAAAACAGGAATGGGAAAATTCCATGAAAAAGGAGATAGATTCAATTGAGAAGAACAACACTTGGGAGCTTGTAGATAAACCAAAGGGGAAGACTCCAATTGGTGTGAAGTGGGTCTATCGAGTGAAGTATAAAGCAGATGGGAGTGTGCAAAAATACAAGGCAAGACTTGTGGCCAAAGGCTATGTGCAGGAACATGGTATTGATTTCCTTGAAACTTTTTCTCCTGTTACTAGATTTGAGACTGTTAGATTGGTGATAGCATTAGCAGCTCAGATGAAATGGAAGATTTTTCAATTTGATGTTAAATCTGCTTTCTTGAATGGTTGGTTGGAAGAAGATGTCTATGTTGAGCAGCCTGAAGGATTCATTGTTCAAGGCAAAGAAGAAAAGGTGTACAAGCTCAAAAAAGCTCTTTACGGACTCAAGCAAGCGCCGTGAGCCTAGTATGGTAGACTTGATTCATACTTGCATGATAATGATTTTCATCGCAATGAAAATGAGCCCACTTTGTATGTGAAGGTGAAAGGAGGTGATATTCTCATTATTTGTATTTATGTGGATGACATTATTTACACTGGTTCTTCTAACATTCTTATTGAAGAATTTAAGAAGAGTATGTCTGCTGAATTTGACATGTTTGATTTGGGGTTGCTGCATTATTTTCTTGTGTTACAAATTTACCAAACTGATTATGGTATTTTTGTTTCACAAGAGAAGTACGCATTGGATTTGCTGAAAAAATTCAACATGCAAAATTGCAAGATGTTTGCTACTCCTATGAATACAAATGAGAAGTTGACAGTAGATGATGGAGCTCCAAGAGCTAATGAGAACTATTTTAGAAGTATGGTTGGTGGATTAATGTATTTGACTCACACTAGACCTGATATCATGTTCTCAGTTAGCTTGGTTTCAAGGTTCATGCATAATCCCTCTGTGCATCATCTTGGAACAGCAAGATGAATTCTTTGTTACATCTGAGCAACAAGCAACTTTGGAATTTGGTACAAGCCAGTGCCTAACTTTAAATTGCTTGATTTTACTGATAATGATTGGGCAAGTTCTGTAAATGATAGAAAAAGCACAAGCGGATATATATTTAATCTTGGCTCGGGTGCTGTGTCTTGGAGTTCAAAAAAGCAAGAATGCACTACATTATCTTCCTCTAAAGCAGAATATGTTGCTACTACATCAGCTGCTTGTCAAGCAATTTTGATGCGAAGGATTATGAAAGATTTGCAGCAAGTTCAACAAAAGGCAACAAAGATCTTCTGTGACAACAAAGCAACAATTTTAATGACCAAGAATCTAGTGTTTCATGGAAGAACAAAACATATTGAGCTGCATAATCACTTTATCCGAGGTGCTATTGCAAATGGATTAATTGCTTTGGAGTATTGTTCAACAAGTGATCAAGTCATTGAGGGATTTACCAAAGGACTCTGTTTTAGTAAATTCATGAAGTTCTGTAACTCACTTGGAGTTGCAGAGTTTGCATCAAAGGGGGATGTTGAAAACTGATGCAAAAGTGGATATTGTCTTTATCTAATTTGTTATTTAGTTTGAATAAGTCTTCTTGATTTTTCTTCAAAGGGTGGGGTAGTTGCTATTTTTTAAGATTATTTGTTGAGTTAGTTTAGCTCATAATTTCAGTTAGAATACAGTATATGGATATCATGTTACAATCTCACTACTTAGATTTTCAGTATATATTTGTATGTTTTTTCAATGAATTCAATATTCAAAAAGTTATCTTTTCACTTCTCAATCACTTTGTTATCTATTTCCATTTTTCTGTTCTCCAACAGAAATCAAATCCTCTTCTGCTGCCATGCGATCAATGACCGTTCTACCGCACAATACTTCCAACAAAACACACCTAGTGAGTGCACATCAACTTTTTCACTGACTTCATGACACATCATATACTCTGGAGGGATATAGCCATAGGTACCTACAACATTCGACTCCTTTCTTGTCAAGGCGTTGGGCTTAGGCGTTGGGCTTAGGCTTTGAGATGCTAAGGGAACCAATCTTGGATAACGCAAAATCTGAAAGCTTAGCCTCCCAATTTTCGTCCAGAAGAATATTAGAACAATTGGGATCGTGGTGAATTATTGCATACTTTGCCCCTGTGTGGATGTAGTGTAATCCACGCGCTGCCCCAATACATATCTCTAGTCTTCGCTTCCATGGGGGTGGATCAGCGTTCCCAAAAAGATGATCACTCAATCCCCTATGGGTCATATGTTCATACACAAGGATCCTCTCATCCTTCTCGTGACAAAACCCAAGAAGAGAAACAAGATTCTGGTGGCGCAGCTGGCAGAGTAACTGTTCCTCATTTTGGAACCGTTCAACTCCTTGACCGGTGATCTACGCAGCGTGGACACCTATAGGTCACATGGGGGATTGCTGACTACTATGATCTTTAAATAACAAACATTGGATAGATGGAAATTTATTAGTTATTTAAATAATTTAATAGTAATTTTTTAAAATATAAAAAATTTTAAATTTAAATTATGTAAGTTATAAGAAAAATGAGTTAAAAAA